TCTCTATTTCCCCCGATATATTTGTTGGGCAATAGGTTCTTGGTTGGTTTTTGTTTGGCAATCGTTTCTGTTCATTTGACCTTCAAGAAGGATTGAAGGTAACTGTTGCTAAAAGTCCTCCGTAGCCTGCTGGAAATATTTTTAGTGAGGCGCGTGCCAAGTCTTTGTGAATCATACAGAACTGACTTTAATGGTGAAAATCTGAATTTTGTTCGTTATGCTTAATGCAGCAGATTTTCATATTGATATCAGAATAATGAAGGTCCATCTTACTTTTCCGATCCTGGTTTTGCTTAAAATGATACTATTGATATAAGAATAAAACTTGTGCACTGTGGTAGAGTGTAATTCCATTATGGGTAAATTTTGTTTGATAAAGTCTCACAGTGTTATACAGTAATGTTTACTGATGACGTTTCGAGCACAATTTATTGCTCATAATCATATCAAGGTAATCACACGACTTCCTAAATTCATTTATATAGTTCCATTGTTTTTCTCTTGATTTTCACTTGATTTGATTGGTAATAGTATTTTCCATATTTCAGGTATGAGTGACGAGTCATTCCTATTGCATGTGTTGGGTGTAGACTCGATGAACAAGGATTCAGTAATCAACCTCTCTCTCCACCTACCTAGATTACACACTAGTGTTTATAGAAAACCAACGCATTCTAATAGATATTTAGACTTTAATTCGTCTCATCCTTTAACTGTTAAGGCAGGCTTAGTTAAATGTTTAACAAACCGAGCAGTGGCACTAAGTAGCACAAAAAACGATCTAAATGATGAATTAAAACAGATAGAAGAAGCGTTGGTGTTGAATAACTATCCTATAAAATTCATTAGGAAGATCACTAAAGGCCAAAAACAAAATAAAAATAATTGTGAAACTAGTAATAATAACATAAATAAGAAAGAATATAAGTCATCCACAGTTATACCATATAAAGAGGGGACATCTGAGACACTACGTAGGATTCTGAATAAAATAGGAATTAGGGTGGCATTTAAACCTACAAACTCACTCAGGGACAAGCTCTGTAGGTTAAAGGACCCAGTTGACCCAATTAGACAAAATAATATTATTTACAAAATACCATGCAATGACTGTGAGGTCAACTACATAGGTCAAACTAGTAGGTCAGGGGTAGTCAGATTGTCAGAGCATAAAAATTTAGCTAAGGTAAGAATGGTTGACCCCGAGAAGATAAGTAATTTAGAAAAAAGCTCAGCAATTGCAATGCATGCGCTAACACACAACCACACAATAGGGTGGGAGAGGGTTAAAATTCTAAAAAGTAATCTAGGTAGGTGGAGAGAGAGGTTGATTACTGAATCCTTGTTCATCGAGTCTACACCCAACACATGCAATAGGAATGACTCGTCACTCATACCTGAAATATGGAAAATACTATTACCAATCAAATCAAGTGAAAATCAAGAGAAAAACAATGGAACTATATAAATGAATTTAGGAAGTCGTGTGATTACCTTGATATGATTATGAGCAATAAATTGTGCTCGAAACGTCATCAGTAAACATTACTGTATAACACTGTGAGACTTTATCAAACAAAATTTACCCATAATGGAATTAAAATGATACTGTCTGTTCAGATAAGTGAAAGATGTAACTTCCATTAGATTTCTCCCTCTTGATAGAGATTGGTACTTGTTTTTCTTGGTAATCAGGTATCTCCATCACCTCTGTCTTCCCTACCGACTTCCACAATAATCCACTGACATCTTCTTATCGTTAGCATGCTTCCTTTCATATAATTATCAATACTTTCTATTATTGCTAGTTTAAAACAATTTTTCTCCTCACATCAATTTTGTTTGTGGAAAATGTTAAGAAGTAATCTCAGATCCTTTTTGTTAGTGGGAATTATTCATAGTGTTCATGGTGTCTAGTATATCCATTTAGATATGATAGAGAAGATTTGTAGCTCAGGTGGATGATTTTGATGTGGTTTTGTTCTCTGAGCTGGATGGTTAGTTTGCGAAGCTTTCATCACCCTACTGGGTGACATCTTCAGCGCATACTTCAATTTGAAGCTCAGAGAACAAAACCACACCAAAAAAGTATATCTATTTCTTTTTTCAAGTAGTTGCATAATTTCAATATATTGCTGTGTAGTTGTTCTCCTGAATTAACTGAGCTTTCATTTTCTTGTACAAATATCAGAGAGAAATATCAATCCCAGCCAAATTATAGCGTTAAAAAAGATAAAATTTGTGAATTTGGCATTCAAATACTAATACTATTGCTAAAGTAAATAAAAATTATCTTTCAGAGTATATTAAACGCTCTCGATGTGCCGCTAACTTGCATCTGGTATTCTATAGCCGTAGTTTGATTTGACATTATGTGTAGGATAAACTATCACTTATGTCCATCTCACTGTACATCTACTCTTCCACATGCTTCTGTGAGGTTGATTAAATTGGACATGTTAAGCTTGTTTGGTCTCTCAAAACGCATATCTGAACACCACCACCCAGTCTGGTTGATGAAAGGCGAATATTGGATGTTGTCTTCTCTCTGTGGTCAGCTTCTTAAATCAGATCAGTTACTCTAGGAGTTTATGTTTTTCCTTTGTATGTATATAAACATCTCCATTGAGGTCTTTTTAACACAACATAATAAAATATACATAAACAAATGTAAAAATATCTCCAGAAGATGAAAATGTTTGAGGACTAGTCTATTCAGGCGCTTTTTGTTTTTCTTTTCTCCATACCTCCGCTTACATATCTGGTACCCGCGATCACTCCTTCACAACACTTTCACAGTTTAAATTCATTCATGGATATATTTTACTTTAATCTGTTTTTTTTTACTTCATGGTTCAGACCTTAGAAGTATGACAAATCAGATATTTGGTGCTTCTGCATACCAAGGTCACACTTTACCCCATTTATGTTAGTTGGAAGAATGTAAGACTTCCATCTTTTTTGTTTTTCTAGGCAATTGAATGAATAATGATATTGAGCATTGAACTGGTTTGAATTTTAAGTGCAAATACAATTACTAATTGAAAATTCACAATGATCATTGAAGATAACTAAGAAAAAATGTTATTAAAAACTTACATTCAAAATAGTTTCCACTTGACTTGAAGAGGAGAATACTTTCAATACTTCTAATATTTATTATACCCGCCTAAAACGAAAAAAATACCGTTCATTACTCTAAATGTTTTAAAACAATAATAATAATAAAACAAAATTAAACTTCGTCTAAATTGTAGTTTAATGAAAAACTCATTGATATCAATCGATTATTTCGATAGTCACCATGTTGTCATTTTTACTCTAGCTGTTGTTCCATTCATTCGTTCCTACTACTGTATGTTGTTACAATCTGAGTAAAACAATAGTGATAAGTCACACATTGATTGGTCTGTTGTAAATATTTCCTTCAAATGTATGCAAATAAAATTGTTTGGAAGTACTTTCATCCGATGAGTAAGTAGTATGCTATTTAACTGATTCGATATTTCGATTCTTTCCGACTGGAACACAGGGTTTTGAAGCATAAACTCTGAATTTTTTGGTGGTAGTGGAGTTGCTAGCCTCATGCTCAACCTCTTTCCTCTTTACCGGTCTATCTTACTGCCGGCAGAGGGAGATTTACGAATATGTTGGCCAGGGGTCGAACAGTGGACCACATACATGGTTGGCATGTATTCCACCAGTGAACCACTAGGACCACAAACATCATTTTATTTGCCTCTACCAATTTCTTGGTGGAAAATAATCGTTTGTTTTTTTAGTGAATATCATCGTTGTCGCCGTCGGATAGTCACAGCTAACCAGCTAACAGGTAATGACTGTTAGCTCAGTGGTAACGGCTCTGATTGTAGCACTGGGTGAGGCGGGTTCGAATCTCAGAATAGACATGAATTCCTTCAAGGTCTCAGGTACTCCTTGCTGACGAGTGCGCCAACTAGCCCAAAACCTAGTTGGAAGGCTTCCTGTGGCCGATTGCCTCCAACCATCTAATTAATATCAACGGTTACCACCTAATGCTGATATGTACCAAATAGTTGTCAGTCATGCTAAGGAATATTTTACGCAATTATACATTCTTTTTTCTATTATTTTCTTTTGACCCACTGATTTTAATTCACTTAATTGATTTCAAACCACCCAATGGTTTCTGGTGTATTTCTATGTAGTCTGTCTGTTTTCAACATAGAACTTTGCACCGATGTGCAACAGTTCAAGGCGCCATACTCCATGTAGCACACAAAGCAAGGGAGAAAAGTAAAAAGAAATGCAAAATAGACACAGTAAACAGAGATATGAGGCAAAAAGAATAATAATATCGAATATTGGATAGTATAAGTCACAAGGACTGGATGTATCTACACCATTGAGAACGACTTTTAGCCATATCGCCAGTTGTCTCCAGCCATTGGTTTTTACCGTCCCGAAGACCCTAAATAGTCAGGAAGTCTACACCTTCCTACGTGGCTTAAACTAACTGTTGTGGATTTCATTGACTGATGAAGCCATGTTTTGGTTTGACCACCGCTATCTCCCTTCCAACTTGATACATTCTATGTCAGCTAACATTGCCCGTTGTCGAGGAAGGCGATGACTAGGCATACGTAACACATGTCCTGACCATCTCAGTCGATTTAAGTTCACAGAATCGTCGATTGATTTCCCCTCCTTACCTAGCAATTGACCGAAGCCTAACCTCAATAATGCTCACCCTATTATACCACTTCACACGGGAGATAGGACGCAGGCACCCATGATCAAAGACAGCTAGTCAGGCTTTTCATGTCTTCCACTCTCAGTGACCATGTCTCACAGCCACCCATAAAGGAGGACGGAGCGGACGGCTGAGCAGAACACCTGCGTTGGTCCGGAGTCGATCCGGACCTCGTGCGTGGTTGACGAGCATCAACTCTCTGGCATTATCTTATTCAAGCTAAACTATTATTTCAATATTATTTTCATTTTGTATTTTCTTTTAATAGGTGAGGTTAGTCCAGAAACAAGATAATGGCTACATCTATGCGATGAAGATTTTACATAAAGCAGATATGCTACAGAAAGATCAAGTAAGTAGTTAAACTTAAGCCTTTCATATTATTGGCGACTGTTATAGTAATAATAATAATAATTGTTATTATTATTGTTATACTTATGGTTGTACGTGATGATTTTAACAGATAAAGGTTGAATAACTTGCTTGAGAACTTCAAGTGTAAACCACTTTGCATAAAATGATAGATGACCTTTTAAGTATTTTATTCACTAATGGAAATTTATCGATTATTCGCATACCTTGTAGAATTATGTTCTCTATGTTATTAATACTACTCATTGACACACTAGTGATATCTTGCGGATGGAAATGTCCGTGGTTGATAGATAATCTATGATATTATTTAACACACTTAACTAATTTGTCATAAAATAATCATAACATTTCAACTTTGATGAATTCATTGAATCAAGACCAAGTGGCGTAATTTCTAACTGTACCGACTTTCATCTATTTTTCATGAATGTGGTTTTAGCTTACTTGAAGTATGTGTGTAGCATAATCTGTAGTAGGTGCGGGGGAGGGGGGCAACTTATCATTTTAAAAGGTGTTCTACTCACTGCTTTCATTCTGTAGTAGTAGTAGTTATCTTATCTCAGAGAACAAGAATTAGGCCTGATAATCAACTTTCGAGGAAAGTTAAGCTTACATATTCAGTTTCCTTTTTTGCACGAATCCTTCACACTTCGAAGTCGTTGGGTGGTTCCCCCTCATTTCAGTTTGTTTTTACGGCTTCATAAGTTCTACAGTTTTCCTTTCCAGTTGTTGACTTCAAATGTTCTGCCTTATTTACCGAAGATGTTCCTTAAGCTCTTTTATTTTATTGTTTTTTTGTTTTGTTTTTTCGGAAAATTTATATTTTTGTTTAGTGGAGTTTCTATTGTTTTGAAACAGCATTCAAAGTTGAGAATTCACCTGAAAATTTTTTCTTCTTGTAAATTTCGCAAGTGTTGTCTATATGTGTGACTGTCGATCCTCAAAAAGCTTCGTTTCACTCTTCGAGAAAATGTGTTCTAGAATGTTAACGTCTTTACGCTTGAATTTGTCGCTTTGGTTTATGAATATTCAGAGGAGGGACTTTGAGATATATCGCCCGACTATCATCTGATGGTAATAGTAGGAGAGTATCATGATTATTGCAAGCTTGTGGTTGGTGTGTAAGGATTACAAATTGATTGTCATAACCTGGATTTTTACTATGTAGAAATGAATTTACTGAATGGGAAATTGTATTCACTGCTGTTGTCTTTTTATTTTGTTCAATCACGGATTTAAGCATAATTAATTTGTATTATGGTCCATCCATATATCTTTATCCTTTGCGTTCCCAGTGGAATATAGGGTTTCAAGTTAGAGCTTTGCCACTTTCGGTAGCAGTGGTGTTTTATTTTCACGCGGTGGGGTTGTTAGTCTCACGACCAACCTTCCATCTTTGCTGGAGTTATTACCAGCTAAGCGAGGTTTGAGCATACATCGTCGGCTGGGGATTGAATCCCCGAGCCTCAAGTGTGTGGTTGGCGAGTATTCTACCTCTGCTCCACCGACGCACTTCTACATGTCTAGTTGATGTTTTCTTTTGAAACTGTTTCATCTCATTGTATTATTTATTGAAATTTAACATTGACCGGAAACTCTTTTAGGTAGATATCATCATTTATAATATCAACTTGCATAAGACTTAATTTTGGTTTCTAGGATCGTCTATATGCGCTTCCACAATGACAATAACCAAAGTCAGTGTACTTGTAAATGTGCAGCAAAAAAAGTCCACTTTCGTTTCGATTGTTTACGGGATACTCGTTGTTGTTATTCTTCTTATTCTCGTACACACACACACACAGATTGCCTATGATAAATTATGGTTTCCTTCCTTGTTCCTACCTCCTCTCTGTTATTCAGTGTTGTCGCTATATATATATATATATATATATATATATATATATATTCTTTTAGGATTGTCCACTAGAATATAAAGTATAAGTTGTATACCGAATAAAATGAAGTAATTTTATACATAAATATGTCGAAAGCGAAACATAATCAGTTTATCAGTATCCTGCATCGATAAACCCACAAGCATAGAAGTTTCCAATAACTCTCTCCTTCATTGTTAATGAGTTATCGTTATCCGGTATATAAAATTATGTGCATATATATATATATATATATATATATATATGATGTGTGGTTCGTTCATTGGCTTTAACCACACACGACTGACTATCATCAGCTGACAACTTCCGATGTTGAATCTCACTCCAAACTTATTTCACCCTCAATAACTTGGGGGTAGTAGTAGTAGTTGTTGTTATTGTACTATGAACCGTCACAACCTAATGGGATAGATGGAGTTTTGTTTTTGTTTTTAAAATGGTTGGAAAACACTCACCTATCTGATTATTAGGATAGGTAGTCTTGTTTTGTATATTTTCAAAAGTGAAGCTAACAATTCATTTGATTGCATGGAGGATTTCATCATGAGCTGATATCAGTTAGAGAACCACTGGAAAACATGGGAGTACTAGACAGCTGTTTCGTCATAGTTTGGGACTCTTCAGCAGTACACACCCACCAGGGTTCGAACCCAGCATCTTCTGGTCACGTTATGTCGTGAATTGGCAGAAGTTAGAATTCAAGGACCGTTGGATTGGGTCCCAGTGGCTCAATGGTGGTGGGTGCGTATTTCTGAAAAGTCCTAAACTAGCACGAAACAGCTGTCCAGTACTCCGAGCTGGTTTTCCAGTGGTTCTCTAACTGATGTCAGCTCATGGTGAAATCCTCCATCCAATCAAACAAAATCCCTACAACACTAATCCTTGAAAACAATATATTGCCCAGTTGCATTGAAGTCTTCTAACCAAATCACCTGTTGGCCTGTCTGATTAATACATCCAAGTTTTTCACTTGAATGTCAGTGTCTCATCCTTGCCTTGTTTGCTTTCATTTTTTTTTTTTTAGGTAGCTCATGTACGCGCTGAACGTGATATTCTAGTCAAAGCAGATAATCCTTGGGTTGTGAAAATGTTTTATTCATTTCAAGATTCAGTGAATTTGTATTTAGTTATGGAATTTCTTCCTGGGGGTAAGTAAACTTCTTTTTGACTAGTCACTTATTTTTATTAGTACTCATTTGGATGTATAAAATATGTACTTTTGTACTTATCTCATCCACTACTGTCATTTTGTGCAACTTGATCTATTTCCAGTTGTTAGTTTGTAGGGATTTGATCGGTTGCAATTTGGATGACGAATTAGTATCAGTTACAGAGACCATTGAAAACCAGGGTAAACTGAACCAACTGTTTGGTCCGATGAAGATTCCCAAACTAGGACGAAACTACTGTTCAGTATTCTCTCTTTGCTTTTCTCAGTGATTCTCTAATTGATATCGATACGCGATCAAACTTATAATCTATTTTATCTCATTTTAAGCCATAACGATGTTCATTGCTATAACCTATTTTTGCATGGTTATTTTATTTCGGTTAAGGTTTAACTCAACTGATCTCTCAGTTATAAAATCTCTCATCAAAATAACCACTTAAAATTGTAATCTAAGGAGGAGAAGGAGAGTCAATGTAATATGAGAATTGACTAGATGCTAGATTGCGTGGTATTATAATATATTACCTAATATGGTTACAGTAGGTTCAACCAAGTTTTGTGTGCGTTTGTGTATATGTCAATGAGATCTACGAGGCCTACTGTATCTGAATGAAATACAGTGTTCTATACAATTTAATCATAGCTAAACAAAATTTTTAGTGAAATACTGATGAACAAGTCCATAAAGAACATGCTCCACTCTGCTCCATAACACGTCATTCAAACGATTCTCACATTTGCTGCATGATATTTATTATATATTCTTGATGTTTCTTTTGTCTTGGTTCTGAGATTATCTTGATATAAACTTCATCTGTGTTACATGAGAGGTATTGTATTTGTAGATGACTGTGCTTATGTTATTTCAGCTGGTTTTTTGTTTCACCAAAGGTAAATCGAAATACCTTATTACTGTTTCGGTTCTCCTGTAAGAGTCATTTTTTCTATTCCTTCACGTTCTCAGTGGAACATAGGGCTTTAAGCCAGAGGCTTGAAGTTTCCATAGCAGGGGTGTTCGTTTTTACAGGATGGGATTGCTAGCCTCATGCTCAACCTTCCCTCTTTACCAATCTTACTATTGGTTTAACGAGGTAAAGGAGTTTGTCTGTGGCAGGGGGTCGAACCCTGGACCACATGAGGCGTGGTTGGCGAACATTCTACCTTTGTGCCACCTACGATAAGAGTCATAAAGTCTCTAAAGATTAATAATATTCTCAATTGTCCGTAGTCTGAAGATCAACTGTTTTGGGAGTCCAGTTCTTTAGCCTCCCTGATACTTCCATCTATCTTAAGGTAAATATTTAAGACTATCTCACCTATGCTACATTTGATTAATATGCTGTTCATTTGGCAATATAATCACCTCTTTATTAACGTTACCTTCAGAATACGACGGAATTTTCAGTATATAGCATTTTTTTAGACTATGGAGTTTTGTAGGCATCAGGACTACTTTCAATATAGATTTTGGTCACGAAGAAACATCACTTAGACAGGTCATTCAAAACTAGAGAGCAATTAGTTGTGTTCGCTGAGTTGGTTGGTTTAATTGCGGAGCTTTCGTCTTCCTACTGGACAACATCTTCAGCGCAAGTTTTAGCATGAAGTGAACTGATATGAATTCTCCATGTCCAGAAGGACGGTGAAAGCTCTGCAATTGAAGCGACCACAACTAATTCTAAATCATCCACCTGATCTACAAATATCCTTTATTATTTCAAAGACTAGAGAGCACTGGATGCATGTTTCGTCTCAGTATGTGACTCTTCATCAGTGCGTACCCTGGATCCTGCCAGGGATGGAAATCTACATTGAAATTATTCCAAATTCCCACAAATTCCATAACTCAAATATTAATCTTCAGCTCATTGATGACAACTGGATGGATGTCTTTAAACTGTACTGAGAAATTGTGACCAATGTTAAGGGGAAGTATAGATAAGAATTGAACGCTCGGTTGAGAGTAGCGCGCCGTATCACGAACTGACAAAGTTAAAATTCACGGGTCAGTGAATTCCAGTCTAAGTGGATAAATGGTCAGCAAGATTTATCGCGTAACCCGAAGGTCCGGGGATCAATCTCTCGTGGTGTGGTCATGGATGTGCAGTGCTGAAGAGCCCCAAGCTAGGAGTAGATAGCTGTCCAGTTCTCCCTTGTCCTCACTGATCACCCTAACCAATGTGGATTTTTGACGAAATCTTTATTGAAATGTAGTATTATAATAAAAATTGTTCCCTCTACAAAATTCTCCAAAGAAATTGTTATGTAAATATTGAGAATAAAAATAATTAGGGCAAACACAATTTGTTTCCAATAATTTTTTTCTCTAGCTGTACACTTCTAATTCGATTTATTTTAGCATACAATAAGGTCATTGAAGGTAAATTAAAATTTTATCAGAATAACTGTATAAGGAGGAATAATAGTAATAATAGTCAGTCTTGATTATCGTTCACAAATCCATCTCATAAAATATACGATGAATAAGACCATGAGATGAAATAATAATTGAATGACGTGTTTGTGAATGAATATATGTGGTCAACAAAAATATAAGTTTCAGTTGATGTGTTCTAATCAATGTGATATGAGGGCAAATGTGACCACTATTCACAAACAAACAAATGTATGACACAAAGATAAAATAGTAATAATAATAACAATAATACGAATGGGGTGTGCACATGTTGATGGTACTAGTGAGCGATTGTCAAATGACGAAGAATTTGGTGCAAAGGATTGTATGTGAATATAATTACAAATATTAAAAGTATTACGTAAGAATAACATGACAGACTTACTAAGAAAGGTTATGGTGTTGTAAACGTCTGAAATGAAGTTTTGTCAATGAATCAAAGGGAGGGGTGAAAAGAACTGGAGGGAGGGAAATTAAAGCGACAAATATCAGTCTTTATGGTGGATATGTTGACGCTACCATAGGGCAAGGTAAACATAGTGGTCAGGTTTTTTAGTATTGATTGCTATCGCTTCGGCAACTTATACTAGAGATTGTTGACCTCCTCTTAATCATAAATTAGTAATGTTAATACACGAGAGAGCCAGACAGACTTTAGACCAGGAAGAGGGTGTATTGATCATGTCTTCACCCTCCGACAGATTCTAAAACATAGGCATTCTTACCGGCGCCCAACAATCACCATATTCCTTGACCTAAAGGCAGCATTCGACTCTGTCGATCGAGAAGTTCTCTGGAGATGCTTGGCTGTAAAGGGAATTCCAAGAAAATATATTGCACTGATTAAGGCACTCTACTCGTACTCATACAGCCAGGTGAGGGCTTACGGCGAGCTGTCATCTGAACTGATGACGACTAGTGGTGTCCGTCAAGGATGCCCATTATCTCCTTTTCTATTCAACTTCATCATAGATGTGTTAATGGACTTAACCCTAGGTGACTTCAGTGACTCAGGGATTGACTTGCTACCAGGGAATAATCTCGTTGACTTGCATACGATATAGTCCTTCTAGGCGAAGACGCTGACGAAATGCAGAGTCTTCTAAACACCTTGAGCCGTAATCTACGAATGTTTGGCATGCGATTCGCTCCCGCCAAATGCAAGATGATGTTACAGGACTGGACTGGACCACATCGACGCCTAGTTTAAAAATAGGAAGTGAAGTGGTAGAGCACGTTGACCGCTTCACTTATTTGGGAAGTACCATCAGCCAACGTTTTTTTTTTTTTTTTTTTTTTTTTTTTTACAGGGGGCTCGTTTCGCATTTGCCAGTGTACGCCGTCTCTGGCGTAGACGTGATATCCGGCTATCGACGAAATGGCGGGTATACTGCTCATCAGTCCGCTCCGTCCTCCTTTATGGTTGTGAGACCTGGCCACTGAGAGTGGAAGACATGAAAAGACTAGCTGTCTTTGATCATAGGTGCTTGCGTTCTATCTCCTGTGTGAAGTGGCATAATAAAGTGAGCAATATTGAGGTTAGGCATCGGTCGAGTTCTAGGTAAACAGGGGAAATCAATCGACGAAGTCGTGAAGTTACAAAGACTGAGATGGTTAGGACATGTGTTACGTATGCCAAGCCATCACCTCCCTCGACGAGCAATGTTAGCGGATATAGGGTCAGGCTGGAAAAAAGCTAGCGGCGGTCAAACAAAAACTTGGCACCAGTCAATGAAATCCACAACAGTGTTGGTCTAAGCCACGTAGGAAGGTGTAGACCCTCACCGGTTGGGGTCCTCGGGACGGTAAAAATCTATGAGTTGGAAACAATTGGTGACATGGCTCAAAATCGTTCTCAATGTCTGGTGCAGATGCATCCACTCCTTGTGACTTATGATCTCCACCAATGAAACTGTTTTGTTCTTCGTTATTACTCTTCCTTTGTCTCACACCTCTGCTCACTGTCTCTATTATGCTTTTCTTGTACTTTCTTCTCTTGCTTCGCGTGCTACACGGAGTGTGGCGACTTGAACTTCCGCACATTTGTGCAAAGTTCTATGTCGAAAACAGACAGACAATGTTAATACTGTAACAGTAAATAACCCCCCTGAAATATTCGCTTACAGCTTTCACCATTCAATATTGGGTTGATTCTACAACGACATAGTTCCAAACATCTTAGTTTGCATTGGAAGGTGATGTGGGTAAAGAAGAATGATGCTCAGGAAGGCTTCATGTGCTTTTGGAAGTGTGTGGGCGGTTGTTACTTCCCGTCCACACACACCGTGGAAATTGATTGATTCTTTGGGTACCTGAAACAGAAAGAGGGTTAGTGTTGCGTGACCGCAGTACCCAGGGGACAACTGCTTGAGGCCGGTCACACACGTCCTGTATGAACTGGTTTCTGGTGTTGGTTCCGTATTAGTGAACTTACCCCTGGTTACGGCCCACCGTAGGGTAAGTCGGAATGTACAATCTTTGGGTCGACCTTTTCTAACCCCCTCCCTCCAGAGTGAAAAGATCGCATAACTAGCTGGCATGCTGGTCGTCTGAGGGAAATA